TGATATAAAAATCACTTCTATTGTTTTCACTTCATTTCAGCCCCAGCCCAATGTCGGAATATGATGGCGTTTTATTTTCAACCAAAAGTATGTTTTAGCGTAGATGGCGCTGATTTAAATGGATATTTGTATGTATAGACAGGGCGCCGCCCTGCTTAATTAAAAACTGAACTGCAGCGTTTCCAATCGCTGCCCCAGCCGAATCAACTGGCTGAAAATATCTGAATAAAATGACTGAATTTTTCACAAAAATACCAAATTTTTCTGTATTATGACTAAAATACGCTCATGGGTCTCGGGTGGCATATATTGATGCTGACAATAGCTAGCTTCTAGTAGGGCATGTAAATTTCTCTGGTCTTGCTGGCAACCAGAACGAGCGATAACATTGAAAACATTGTCTGCGCTTGTTGAACGTATGCTTTAACAAGGTTTAAAAAGTGACATACATTTTTGAATCAAATAGAAAGTCAAAACCCGTAGCCATTGTTCAAATGGGTAAAAAGTGTTGATATTTTAATGATGAGATGAAAAAATGATTATTTCATTTTGTGACCGTTTTTCGAATTGTTTTGTTATATCCGAAATGACAATGCGAATTCATTCGTCGTCATGATGTGATTAGCTTAATACTGTTCCGTAATGTTGATTCGTATCGGTAAATTACGTAAAATTGGACAAGATGGAAGTAGAATGTGGTCGTAAATTTATTTTATTACATTTCAACAAAATACAAACGCACGCACAATGTTCAAATGTATAAATGAAATGTGATGCAAGCATAGAAGAAAGCAGAGTGAATGGCAAAATCATGTTTGCCGAAATTTCTAATGCAGTACAAACAAAAGGAAAGAAGAATAGAAATGGCAAATAAATCAATAAACAAAATTAACAGATAAAAGGATAATTCGAAGTTTTGATATGCCACCCAATTTTATTAGATCAGCCATCATTGTGATACTCTGGCGGCATAGAAACACATAGACATGTTACATTTTGTTCGCAACAATATATTTGGTGGCAACAATGCCGTTGCTTCGAATAAATAATATCACATATCAAAAGATGTTTGCCCATCTGTGGGACTGGCTTTGTGATAATGTATGGTCTGTCATATCAGGAAAGGAAAAGGAAAAGGAATGAAACGAATGAAACCATCGAAAGCAAACGAAAATCACAAAACATGCTGGGAATGATAATAAAACATACACTTAGACACAATGCTCGGAGCATCAATCAGTTTACCAGTGTCGACCAATAAAATAGATCAAGTAATTCGCCATTGGCTATTTGTGATCCCATCGATTTCTCAGCCATCAATTCGAATTGACATTCGGTTTCAGTTTCGATTGAGATATCAAAGGGAATTTTGATCGACATGAAAAACAATGGGGTTATTTTGGCGTTTAACTTTAGCTTTAGACCAAACCGATGATACTGTAAAAAGATATAAATAAGAGAAGAAAAGATATTAAACATAACTCGTTCATTAATCACAAGACAAGTGCAATCAAGTGTTGATTGCTTTCACTTCGTTTAAACACTTGCCCGAAATTCGGGAAATAAATACTCGTCAAAACATTCGGTATAAGAAAATATTGAACTTAATAATTGTGTAAGAAAGCAATGTGTTTCATTCAATTTTCGATAAATTAGTTTTTCTACCTCGTCATATTTGACGTTGAACAAAAACAATTTGTAACTTTAAATTTAATTTGCATTCAATTTAAATTGCCAAAACAGAAATTATTGATACGCATTGTTCACACAACATTTCACATTTTGGTATTGAATCAAATGTCAAGGTTTGAACGGGCTTGATGGCCATACACATCCATCAATGATGAATAGTATTTCATGTAAACATATTTGACGAAAATTCCATCATTATTTTGAGTTATTGTGCAATCATTGACATTCAATGCACGATTTATCACAATGTTACATATAAAATCTTTCAATTAATTTGAAAAGAGTTTGTGAGCATATGTTTATACGAAGAAACACAATTAACAAAGAGCATTCTATGCTTTCTGCTTAAATTCGATGATTTCCCAATACTTACATCATACAATGCAACTCCAAGAGGCGTCTACTCAGCCGTTCTACATACAACGTTTACACGGTGTATTACAACGCGGTCACCTTGCAGCAGAGCTACGCGTCGGTCGTATATATTCTTTATGTATAGAGCGATGACCATAGCTCTGCCGCATACAAGTGTGAGCGGGTCGAGTCTCGCATAGTATACATAAATAATACATACGACTGAAGCGTAGCTCTGCCGCAAGGTGACCGCGTTGTAATACACCGTGTAAACGTTGTATGTAGAACGGCTGAGTATGCTCACTTCACTGACTGACTTTGAAGATGAAAAACAATGCGCAAGTGCAAATGAATGGTTGAGATCATGACTCAAATCATTTCTAATTTTAAAAAATGAAACATAGAAAAATGTGCATTACAAAGAGTGAAACTTTATAAAACAACTCACAAGATCGATTCATAAGAAAAATATTCCATTGAAACATAAAAAAAATATCCCGAATGTAGGCAAATTTGAATCATAAAATTTAAACACGCAAGAGTGAAACAAAATAAATATCCATGTGGTATTTTTTACGTTTCAATTATTGATATTTTTTTTTTTTTCAAATTTCATTCATAGTTATTTTTTCCTTATGTTTTATTCTTCAAATTAAAAATATTTGAGTCATGATTTTTCTCAGGCATTCAAATATCGTTTGCATATATAAAGAAAATACATCGAAATGGAATTGTTCTATTTTCGTTTAAATTTATATTTTGCTGTTCCACTCTGTTTCATTCTAATTTATTAAGATTCAACAGAAAAAAAATACACGAATTCTTCGAGTTCAATTCATTGTAATTATCGCAACCACTTCAAAGTAATTTGAATAAATTGTAACGTTTCTGAACTACCGAGCATCTAGAGTAAGAGGTATATTCAAATAATTTTCTCTCATTAGAATGAATATAGCAATGACACAAATAGAAAATAAGAAACATCTCGTTAAGTTAGAACACAGAGTGCGGTGTCTGGAGTACGCTTTGGTTTCTAATTTTATATGAGATTATAATGAAATTGATTATAAACATGCTGTCGGTGCTAAGATGTCAAAAAGTTTCTTCAATTATAGAATTTACCGTCGTTTGAATACCGATGAAACGTATTATGATATAAATTCTTGAATTTATCATATTATTCAGATGAAAATTAGAATATTTTGAATGTGTACTTTGTACATCGTGCAAACGCATGTAAATATACCTGTTCAGATCCAATTGGTGCTGCTAAATGCCACTGTACTGCTGCTAAACGAAAAACGATGAAATGAACAATTTCAATTGACTTAATAATCCTATTTACATACATTTTCGAATGCCACAAGCAAACATTACATTGAAATCCGAATTTAGCATCCGAAAAAAGAAATACGGCACGTGAAAAAGTTGCTTTTTTATTCTCACATTTCTTGAACTGCCGCTAGCTTATAAGAATCTAAAATTTGGTTTGTTTTCCTTTGAAATGCGTTATATTCTATTAATATGCTTAAATTGATATATATTGGTATTTATATTCCATTCATTTAATTACAACGAAATTTTCTTTAAAAAAAAATCAAAAGTTGATGAGAAAAAGCTCACACTCACAGCAAGTCCATTACGTCATATTGCTGCTTCGTGCATTCAAAAACTCGATGTTCAGTGATGAATGAATGCAATGCGATTGTATTTGCACCTTGCGCCATTCATTTAATTACAATCACACACACACTACACATACACACACCGAAAGAATGTGAAAGCAATGCGCGAAAATCGATGAGCCGAATGAAAGTGTATGAAATGATGTGAACCACTCCATCAAGACGAGAGTGAAACCACTAAGCATATGCTGAAGTAGAGTGGTTGTAGTAAAATTTGTTTCATTCAAAACTTGATCGGATTTCCCCTTACGAATGGAAAGAAAACCGTTATGCTATTGTTGTTGCTTTTGTGAAAAAATATTTGTGGTGGGGTGACGAGCTAAAAAAAAAATGCGTATGAACACACGAATGCAACTGTGTAGTTTGACATGGTATCGTTAGCGAGTTGAAACATGGATGATGCTTACGGCATTCGGCTTTATCAGTTAGACATATTTTAGCTGATTGTGTTGTTGTTGTTTTTTCATTCTTTTCAATCTTTTTCCATAAAGAAAACTCATGCGACGTGACAGATAGAGGCGAAGTGCTTTTTTATACAACAACAAAACCATTGAAAATCCGATTGTACTCACGAAGTGTGGGGTCTTTCAACTACATGATGTGAGTAGTAAACAGTACACGCGCGTCGCGATGAAAAGCAAATAAGATGCTACAGACAGAGATAGAGAGAGAGACTGAGTGAAAATCTGAAGGACTGATATAAGATGTAAAACAACAAAGCGAAAAATGCGAATCAAAGGAAACGAATGTGATTTGAGCAACAAATTTAAGCAAACATCAACCGTTTATGCGGCAAATTGAAGAAACAAACAAGGGTAAATGGCTCGGCTTTTTTTCGTTTTCACTTCATGTCATTTCCGTGAAATGTAAGGGCGGAACAAATGCGAAAAATGAACTTTTTCGAATATCAGTACGATTTCATTCCGGCTAAAAATCACACAACCAACAACAACACAAACAACGGCTGAAGAAGAACAGAGAGAATAATGGAACGCATATGAATTGGATGGGATCTCTCTTCTGTACAAATACCGATAGCTATCGCGATAGCAATACGAGCAACAACCACATAGAATAGCACAGAGCCACACTAGAACAGTCACAGCAACGTTCGTTTCATCAAAACGTTTTCTACACACATCGACATCATCTTGGCACGCTTACGAACGAACGAGAGAAGTAGTGAAAAAGAAGAAAACCTCTCGTACCCAGTGTGTTGGATCGCTACCAAAAATATCTGGTTGTGAAGTTTAGTATGTTTCGCGAACTCATTAAATTAGGACGGAATCACCGAAAGCCAATGTTCTTTAGTTGGAACTTTTGCTATTTGCCAATTCGTTCTTCAAATCAAATCAAACTAAGCGAAACAACATAACGTCAACATTCATCATCTTCATCAATGTTACAGCCAATCCACTTATTCACCTGCCAATTGTGCTTATCTTCGTTCGTTATTATTACAACTGAAAAACAATTTACACGATAAACAAATAATTCATAATAAACCGGGAAACACCGAGTAAAACACATGGGAAAAACAACCATGTTATTTGTGATCACTTTTATTTTGCACTGATTGTTGTGAATATTTAAATCATTTATTATTTGAAGTGGCTATTAATCGATTTTGATATCTGCTGATACATCCGTTGATGAGTTTCAAATCCGAATTTAGTGAAGTGAAGATCTTTAAATAACAATCAACGCAATTATTGTCTTTGAGGTTTTTTTTTTGTCGGTGAGTCGAATATTTTTAATTTCAAATCGTGTCGATGACGACTGGATTGTCCAACCCAACATCACTTTTCAAGTATGTATTTATGATTTTGAATTCTATAAAAAAATTTCACTCATTACAAGTTCAAAGCACAAATTGAACCGTATAAATAAAAAAATGGCGGCAAATTCAACTGCGATTCATCGTTTTTGTTTTCACATCATTTAGCATCTAATAACGACTGCTATTTTAATTTTGATCAATTTATCACAATTTCTTCGAACAAAAAAAGCGCCAAGTGTAAATTTCTCGGATCCAATTAACCGTTACTGGGAGTCACGTGTACAAAATGTTGAAATTGTATCCATGAACACAAAATAATGAAATTTCATGCTGAACGGTCAATTTGCCTGCAGTTTCATTATACTCTTTTCTCACTTTCTCTCGCTCGTTCGCAATCTCGGTCTCTCTCTCTCTCTCTCTCTCTCTCACACACACACTCACTTTCATTCTGTTCCCTCGTTCCCAATTTGTCTTGCCAAAAAATCGAATAACATTGAAATTCCTGAGAAAAAGCTGCCATCGTAGAAATGAATATTGTTCTCTATAGTGTTTGTGCGTTGAATAGAATTGCGTGTAAATTAAATACTAAAAATTTTATGCTCAATTTAGTAAGGAACAGTAAAGCGAAATTAATATGAGAGCACGGGTTCTGAATACACGCCGAGATTAAAATTCAGTAACAAAAAGGTATAAAAGCGAATTCACCACGAAAACCATATGAATGGGCCAAATGTTTGGATTAAATTTAGTGTAAGCTCACACACTCACACACACACACACACACACAACACACACCACACACACATTTCACGCGCTTAAGAAATATTGGAATAGACATTTTCCGTTAAAACCAATCCACCGGAACGTTACAGATATAAGACTCCACATTATTATGGCCATATAGGCACCGATATTTTATGGGTTCTAAGGGTTTTGAAAATTTACGTTTTGCCATTTACAATATTGCCATTGTTATGTACAGCAACAGATCGATTGTCGAAATAACTGACATGAAAATTAAATATAAAAAGGGTCCATGCAATCGGATTTCATTCGTTTCTCGGATCAAAATAAAAACGAAATATAAGTGAGTTTTGTTTTGTATGTGCGTGTGGAATCAATCGGTGACGATCCCCTATCTAGACACCCTTCTTACCTATTCAGATTGGTCAACATCTTATATTATCTCATCTAATTTTGATGAAATCATTATATCATCCATTTCGAATTTGATTTGAAATTTTTCGGAACAGTACACATCCAATGACATCAATAAAAACCACGACAAAGGTGCTTCATATTCGAAAACTTTGAGCCAAACATTTGGTGTTCTATATTTTGTACATTAGTCGCACATACACGGATATTCAAAATGAAACAACATAAATTACAACCAAAAGAATCACAAAAACTATAGCGAAGAAAAGAAATAAAATGCAACAACATCAGCAACAACAACAATAACAACAAAATACACCTGAAAAGCTCGAAACATAATCGTCAAACTTATGTGTTTATTTGTATTGGCATTGTGTTCGTGCATTATTCGAAATGTAAAAACGAGATCGCATTGGTTTCAAATCAATATTTATTTACCCATTTAATCAAATGCATTGCGCCATTACATCAATTTATTTATTTACACCTTCTTTGATATGTTAGAATTTTTTTGGCACTTTCCGATGTTGATTGTTCAGTACACAGAGTGATTGACTTATTCAGCAAATTGTGCCGATACGATACCCGCATAGGGCACGCACCTAGGGGATATCCATGCGAATTAGAATTAGCACATTAGCAAAAAATAGGGAAATTTACATGAAGAAAATAGCGAAATTAGCAATAAATAGCAGAATTAGCACTGTACATGTATATACTTTAGTAAGCATTTATTCTTGAATTTATTGAAATAATTAATTAAAATAAAATTCACAAAACAAACGAATTGAATACTGTTGAACTAAAATGTATCAAAATATGTAGTTAAATACGCCTTTTCCCATTTTTAAATAAAAATATATTCAATGGCACGTAACCAAGCACGTTCCATCTGTATTAATTACAATTTACGAATTGCAATCGGAAATGTAGATTTGATGACAGATTTCTTACTGAAAACGTATACGCTAGTGCCTGCTTCAAATATACACGTTGAAAGTGTCAACTTGAAACATTTACGTAAACACATTTCGATTATTCGATCATGCAGTCAATCTGACGTATGCAATATTTTTGACGTACTAGAAAAATTAGCAAAAAATAGCAGTATTAGAACAAACTAGTAGAAATACTAGCAGAATTAGTGAAAAATAGAGAGAAATAGCGTTTATTATTATAAATTATTCGATCTGCAATTCATGGTTATCCCCTAGGCACGCACACACACGCACCGTAACAAAACACAAACATAAAAATGAAATAAGAAGAATTTCCAATAAATACAATCGTAAATCATACACGCATACCAGCCCGAGGGGTATTACTGTGGGAATACCTAAAGTGATGTGACCAAAAATTTGGTAGACTGATGGTGGCATCAACATCTACAATATTAATGACAGCAAGAATTTGTCGAATAATTTTTGCGACAAAAATAATAATAGCAGCTGAGATTGCCAAAATCATATTCACAAAGGATGCCTTTGATGGGCATGATTTTTTGGGCCATGTCATCCCATTGCTCAAAGATCTTTCATTTCGATATGTTCATCATCATCTTATTCTTCTAGATTTTTTTTCTTCTCTTTTCGATTTTTTGCAATAAAACAAGTGCGAACGAGAAAATTTTGAGTCGAAAAATGGGTGTATAAAAACGTTGTTTTCTTGGCTCGTGTGATCATCATTCCAATGAGAAACGTCATAGGTGCTTAGGATTGCTGAGCAAAGACAAAATGATATACATTATTCATTTTTTTTATTGTCGTGTGTACTCAAGTGTTTTTTTTTTTGTTCTCTGTCTCTCTCTATTTTTCACGCCTCTTATACAAACGAATTCCAAAAATACGCGTTGCGATCGAAAGCAAGGCCACTGTTCACAGCTGTACTTACGCATTAAATTCGGTCGTATTTTTTTTGTCGTCGATTTGTTTGTTTGTGCTTACACATTTTACTCATGCATGTTTCGTATCTCTGGAATCGATGTGAGCATCATTTCCATTTACAGTTTGCATTGTAATTGACACGCACTGCACAATACCATTACATATTGATTTGGCATTTTTATTGTGAAATCTAGTCGTGCGTACATTCCGTTAAAGCAGTCGAAAACAGACGGGCCAAAAGAAGTAACTGTGCGTGTGTAAAATAAAAGTGTGTGAAACGAAGTTGTTATTAATCAAAATGGTGTGAATTTCATATTTGTTATATCCTGTACGCACAAAATATAATGCCATTCGAATATTAAGAGGAACAAGAACGAAAAAAATTCGGCAACATTAGCAGAGTAAAAGCAAATGCCATTTCCGGAGACATGAAAATCGTTATATGCTTATTTGGCAATGTTAGCCCATTTAAGAATGACGTGGGCCGTATGTGCTCTGCTGATTTGATTGTAATTCGACAGTCCATTTGCCATACAGTCTCCATGTCGCTTCTATGTCTTCATGGTGGCAGTGGAGCGTTTTGTTTTTATCGGCCGTACGAATATTTGTACGTTTTTTTCAAGTATCCACTTTTCGATGTGGAATCCTTTCTTGGACACTGATGCAGGCACGCATTCGTTCCCCTTTTTTATGTTTGAATTACATTAGCAACGTATGCAAACTCATGTGCTACAGAAATGTTCATTGGGTACGTTTTTTCCTTTGCCGAAATCAAACAAGAAGAAATTGATGGAAAGGAATTCAAATGGACCATTTTTTTTGTTTGTTTATTTATTTTTGAGCACAATCTGAGCTTGGAAAAAATTAAAAGAAGGAAGAGGTAAAATTTGACGATTGTTTTTGAGCATTTAGTTATTTGATTTGGAATACGTTCAATGGAGGTTATTATTATTATTATTTTTGAATCTTTGCCAAGTGGTGACGTATTTATAAAGATTTTTTGGAGCAAACCGAAAATTTATTGATATAATTTCAAAATGTTTACGCATATTTGAACAAAAATCGATCAAACAGCTCTCAGCATCCTACTCAGAAATGAAGCGCACAAAAATCACAATAAGTTGTGCCATGAGAAAGAACTTTGTACACACGATAATCAAAATGGCATTTATTTATCTCTGGATATAGTTTTATACAGACGTTATTATAAGCTGGCTATTACATATAGGAAATAAGATGCTGAAAATATGCAGAAACATGTTGAGGAGAAGAATTGTTGTTGTCATAAAATTCAAATGTACCAAATAGCTGGCTACGTACTATAATTCGTCTCATTTCGAAATGAATAGTCAGCTCAATATAACGCCTTATTTTATATTCATTGTGGTCTGGATATAATTTACTATAGTTCGTCGGAAATGCGTGTGGTAATCCCAATCCAGAATAAATTTTACCACTATGCGGGCTTATGTCATTTTTCTTCATTCATTTTTTCACCGAAAGATATCTCAAAGCGTTTAGCAGTAAGACTAAGACATTTTTCCCCGTATAAATTACAAAAGTTCGTTGTTTTGCTCATCTCTCATCCGCACACACACACACACACACACACGCATACACTTATTTACCGAGAAAAACAAATCGTTTTTCTTCCTTACGGCTCGCATTATTACGATTAGTTATGTATAGTGTTGAACTTGTCCCCTGCATATATGCAAACACATTTACAAAATACAACAAACATTTATTATATGTGCTGGGATACCAGGCAAATTGCATACAAATTGTCCTTCATTTTTGTCATTGATATCAATGGCCTATCTTTCGTTGGGCGGTTTCACCTACACTGTTTACATTTTTCTTTCATTTCTCTTTTTTTTTGTCATCGTTAGACTTTGGTGTTATTTGGAAAAACACAATGTTTATGTGTATTTTTCACTTTGAAAATAGTCACCCTCCGATTTTATCGATTGAAATAACATTTTGCGTAGGTATGTTGATTTTGTGCCCATAGTTGTGCGTCAAATTGAATGTCAGAAAAATAATATTCCATGTCCGTGTCATAAACATTTATTTTTTCCAATAAACGTAAATGTAGAAAAACGGAAATATTTAAATTCTTTCAATAAATTACTTGCCCAATATCAGGACAAACAGCTGCCGAATCAACGTCAAAACGTTAGTATGATGTGCGTGTGCTGTGTGTTTATATGTTCAAGATTGTCGAAAATGCCGTTTTTAAAAATCAAATCGACAAAAATATCTCGCACTAGCGACATACACAAAAAAATGTAATTGTATCGTTTTTACGGCAGTATTTTCATTAATGGAAAGTAAATTCGAACTTCAAATTTGGTAAACTTGAACATCTGACAGTTTCACCTGGTAATGGAAATGAAACAGAACGATTTGCAGACTCGTCATTGCAATCTATACGATGTGCTCGCTTTTTCTTATTTCGCTCCCCCACAAAAATGCTCAGGTAGCGATTTATCATTTTTTAAATTGCGTCAAAAAATCGATCCAATTATAAAAATTTATTTATTCTTCACCAAAGCAGATCGGTGTGAATTGTTCATTTAATCTAAAAAAAATGCGTTCAAAAATATCCCCACACAAGCCCTATGAAGTTATTGTTTTTTTCATGATTTTATTATCCAATTGTGTACAATATTATTGTGTGCATTCAATGATATTTGCTTCAATTGCTGCAACTTATTTGAAAAAATTCGTCATTTTATTTCCATCAAAGAAAAATATTTGCTCTTTCCGTACAAATCTGTTTGAATTTCTATGGTCCATTTGTTATTCAAGAGGATAATATCAAGAGGGAGTAAATTAAAAGATATATTTTGAAAAACAAGTATATTTCTTAATATCATATATATATCTTTCAATAAATCTTTTTCTTGGCTATTTTCTCGTTCTCTCTATTTTCAAGTATTCTCATAAAAATGAAAGAATGAGCATTCTTCAAACATTACAACAATTCCACTAAAATTGAAATCAATTACAAGGACTGTTAAGTTCAGATGTACGTATTGAGTGTAAAAAGGGCAACAGCAAAAGTACACTAAAGCTTAATATCGATGTTACTAAAGTAATTTTATATTGAGACGGTGTCGAGTACCATGACCCGATCAAACATACTAAAACAAACGAAAAGTGAGAAAAAAAGTGTAGGAGTGAGAGAACAGTTGAAACAATTATATGTGTAATGACTTAGGCATCAACAGAAAACAAAAATACAAATCAAGATGCAATTCACTTTGGCTTCTCTGGCTTTGCGTCTGAACCAGTCTGAACGAACAAAAATTCCGTCGTTGTGAGGCCTTTTCGTTGATCGTGCGTGCAAAAAAAGTAATAGTCCGCTATTTTATGACGTACATTTTAATTAATCGAATTACTTCTATTTATTCACCCATTATTTGTTGCTCGTAAATCATACTCGATACAAAGAAAATTAAAAACAAACCGTACATCTACATACACATACACGCAAAGCGTTTTACTTCGGATCACTGTAGCTTGATGTGTCATCAAGCTTTAAAATCGTTTTTGGTGTGGCTGTACCCAAGCATGGTGCAAATAACGCCGAAAAAAACAATAAAACTACTGTAAATATTTATCATCAAGCGTTATTGTCACGAAAGATGTGTTTTTTTATTTGTTTCTTTGATAAACGCCGAATAATTAGCCAACAGCAGATTCATCTATTGTTTGTATTTTGTAGTTGTTGTTTTTTTTGTTCATCTGAGGTTCGTGGGTACTTTTGCGTTGAAAATGATGTGAATCCATTTCGGTGGAAATCATTTAATTAACTAGATATATGATTACATCTGGATAAGATGATTTTAATGAAATTTTGCGCTGTTATTTTAGTAATTCAAATTTGTTCTGCTATCTTTTTTTGGCTTCTCTTCTATTTGCATGTAATAAGTAATCGCTTTACTCAAGCAATACTCATGCTGAATGACATGAAAATGTGACATTATGAAATTCGTTTTGATGGTAAAATACATAAATAGCATACTATATTTTCGTATCTTCATTCAGACGCACACATGCGCACGGTTTTTTGATCAGGGGGGTCAAATTGACTTTGGTCTCAAGAGAGGGAGGGGGTATTTATATGAAAAAACTAAAATAACAATTTTGCATGAAAGAAACATGTAAAAATGCGTGTTGGTGAGCGAAGCGGGCCGAAATTTTGCAAGTTTTACTTCAAAATCAGTCAATTTTTGCTATTGATTATACATTTATATTGAAAATCTGAGAAAAAAATTTGCCTCAGGTGGGGGTCAAACCGGAAAACCCCCCAGCGCGCATGTGTGTTCAGACGATGTACACAATTGGATTAACGCTTCACCGTAGTAATGTCAATTATTCAATTTGTTTTGCAGTTTATGAATTTAATTAGTAGCAATATTAATAATTCACTTATCTCACCGAAAACCAAGATTTCATTTACCACAATACACACAATTTACAAATGGATTCACTCATAAAATTAAAACATTTCATAATCATGAAGTGTTTAACCATTTTACTAAGATGAATATTTTCTGCAAAACAGTGCATACATTTATTTTGTCGCGACATTTTACAAATATTATCGTAATTTGTTAATGATTATCATTTGATTTTATCAGGGACTGTTTCTCAGAGCAATGTATGTGAGGAGGGGTGCTGAGGAGCAAAATATTAAAAGTTGAAAAAATGTCAAAAATCATAGAATATTTTCAATTTGAACAATTTTTTTAAGCTTTTTCTCAGTTGCTGCTCCTCTTAGCCACAATGCAAACAAAAATAGTTGAATACTCTGTAAAATTGGCTCAACCGAACTGACAAACAAACTATATCAAAGGTTATTGGTATCGCGTGTCATTTAACTATGCTATTGTTATTACTTATTCTCTATATGTCAAAACAAAATTTTATCCATCGAATAAGCATGAACCAGCGTTTTGGTGGAGCCAATTCTTGGAGTGAATTTATTTTTACAAATATGAATAAAACGTGGAAAATAATAGCATGACCATGGTCATAAAATCATGAGCACATAAAACGGACACAATATGTATCGTATGCCGTAATGTGAACATTGAGCTTGAAATCCATGTTCAATTGTGTGTGTGTGTTTGTTTGGTTGTATTAATGTAAATCAAGGGCAAAATGAACTTGTTTTATTTTTCACTTGTCTTTTTTTGCATTTGTGGTTATATGATACAATATTTACATAATCACTTCGTATGTATTTATTTGTCTATTGCTTATGGTGCATGGTTTTTCCTTTGTGTTGATATGGCCATGTGCGTGATGTTTCATTTTTATACAGCATCTTCAAAGACACTCACAGAGAAGATTTTGATTTTTTTATGAGCAAAATGATCCAAAGAATTGCTTATATTGATATGGTTTACGGGTCGATTATTACAGCATGTAGGCTATAACGTTTTCCACTCCCACTCAATGCTTAAGGTAGATTTTTCAAAACGATGCAATCCATTATGTGGCCGATATACACGAGAAGCTTTTCATGGATTCAGATTTTAGATTGAAATTTGTACCTTCGACTCACTCAAATGTAAGTTACACGTTATTCACAACAACAATACAGATGACATATAATTCAAAAATCATGTAAGACTTCAAAGCACAGAGCAGCAAAAATCATCCCTTGACAGTTTATGACATTCAATGCATTTAAAATGTAAACCGAACGAACTGTCATTCAGAGGATAATGTTCGATCTGTACGGTGACGTTTTTTTTAGATTTGGCGCAAAATAATGAACGCACGGTGATTTAAACTTTCCTTTTTTACTTTGTAAAACACACAAAAGATTGATTAAAATCAAATTTCATTACTTTCACTTTATACGACAAATATTGTTTGGCCAAGACAGAAAAAAAAGAACAAAATGGTTTTACCCTGAGGCTTTGGTATGACACCTCTGTCAATTGCAGTAATGCACATAACATTTTTTTTTTTCAAAAACGACAAGAGATGTGGGTGGAACATTAAAATCGAAATTGAGACTGAATTCAATAAACAAAAATGAGCAAATGTTCTTTGAACTTTGTTGGTCTAACAAAAAGTGAATGTCATTTTTATCACCAACCATATTTGTATGTGAAGAAAAAGCGATTGAGCAAACAAAATCGGCAACTACGTAATATGATGAAAATGCAAGTGGCAGGCGCATTTGCAGTTCAACTAACAATAAATCAAACGACGGACATTTCAGACGGTTTTATCACATCAATCGAGACATCGGGCGTAAAGTTTTACAACAAAGAAAAAAAACTTACATATTATTAATCAATTTGAATGCAAAAGGCATATTGTATTTGTGTGAGTGTGTGAGTGTGTGTAGAATTTTTTGTGTGTTTGCATCAGCATCTCCCCCATCTCGTAATTGCTGTTTCACTGAAAGGACATGACGTCATTTTTTTCATACAAATCATTACATTTGTCGTATGCTAACAAATGTTCGATACTTTTTCAGATTTATTACAAAAAATTCGATTCACATTTCGAATAATTTTATATTGAACGGGACAACATCTGCGAAAGGCAAAATTTACGGCGAATGTTCAACAGTTTTTTACTGCCACATCAATGGAAATCGGCGTATATTTCATATGCAAATATTTTGATTGATTTTCTTCGTTTTCAATTTACCGATCATTTCGTCCATTCATATTTATAATTGATTGCAAATAAAAATCACTGTTCTTTTTTTGGCTATTTCTCGTTTGTTGACATTCGTACTCTCTCACACACACACATTGTTCCCACCTTTTGAACTTTCGACAAACAATATTTGAAAAAGTTAACAAAGAAGTTAAATTAAGTATTTCAACTAGTGAGAAAGCGGAAAAAAATAAAATAAATTATTGTTCAAATACAGACGAGCGCAAGGTTATTTTTCCAATTTCAAAGAAATTTCCAATTTTGAACAAAAAAAACGGATAATTATGCAATGAAATCAGAGACGGAAACAAGAAAACGATAAAACAGCGACTGTAGACGTTCGTGAAACTTTCTACGTCTTTCGTTTTATGTTTGCGCCAGTTTTAAAGTTAGTGCAAAAAAACTGTGTATCTGTTGAAAAGAGCGATAAATCAATAGGAGTGTTTAGGTAAATTTTTTCTTGTTTTTTTTCTTCTCTCCTTTCTCATCTTTTCCGCTCTCGTTCTGTTTGGCTTTGGTTTGATGTATTCAGTCAAAATTAAATTTTTCATACAAAGTTAATATGTTCAGTTTGTAAAAGAATGTATCGATATAAATATTTATAAATATAAAATATACAGAAATGTTGGTGTTGTTGGCAAATGCCAGTCTAACGATTTTCTAACAAATTAGCTTCCAAAAAAAAGAGTCTTCAACTGAAATAAAGTCATTATATGCACACCGAGGTTTTGATATGCGAGCGAAATATTCGCTGCCTAGGCTCAAACAATTTCAGTTGGCGTTGTTTTTTCTTCGGTTCTTATTATTGTTTCTGATGGTTCGAAGCTGAATATAATCTTTGCTGCTTTGAATAAATTCAGGACCGCCTAAGCGACAGAGAACAGAGAGTGAAGTAAAAAAAAGTATAAACACGATGAGAAAGCTGTACAAAAGTTTATGTGCACAAAACATGAAGCGAAAATAAATAAAACAAATTAATATAAACATAAAATTACACATCAATTTGATGTCGTGGAGAGTGAATGAGAAGTTTTTGCCTTAAATAAACATGTTTTTATTCACTTAATTTTTCTGAAAAGTGAACGAAAAATCAGCGTATGCTTTTAAAATTGTGCACAAACATTCTAGCCGTAATGCTAATAAAATTAAGTACATGATGTGCGTGGTAAACCGTAGTGTGTTTGAATATGTCCGTGTATATGTGTGGTTTCGTCGATATACATATATGTATTTTTCATAAGATTTAACATAATAAGCAATGAGTTAATCGCTTACAAAGAAACATAAGTCTTTTGTACACTTCTTCTCTCTCTTATCGCTTTCTCTCTCACTCTCTCTATCGCATACCAAGTTTCGTTTTAATAGGCAATTTTCAACAGCTACTATGTATTTTCATTCGCCTTAAAAGTTTCTTGCATCCCTTTAACCTTTATTTTGATGCAATTCATTAGCATTTGGTGCCTACTATTCATTAAATCCTGTCACAATTAGTGATGAAGTGTTTTGAAGACGCTTTTCTTGACTGTACAGTAAAAAACACTTTGCTTCAACACACACAGACACAAAAACTCATAATCATCATTGACTTGGTCAGTAAAAATGAGTTAGACAACAATAATAAATTGCCTGATCTCGTGTCAGCCAAACAGACGCACGAACTTTACTTCAGCTAAAAGAATTTGATCGCTTATCTGAGCATACCGTATTAATTTTAAGTTCATATTCCAGCATCAACGCAACTTGCCACAAAGAAAAAAGAAATGGGAAAAAGAGGACGGAGTGAAGGGGATTGCATCTGTTCTGCATCCAAATCAAGCTCTTCTTGAGAAGAGTAAACGCCAAGAAAAAAAAATTCACATAAACTAAAATCGTTTGTGCAAAAGTGTAAGTGTAATGGTATAAAACCGTAAGGCATTTTCAGTTGCATATATGGAGGTATTTGAGTGAAGTCCTGTGTTATTAATGTGAAAATAAATTAGTTTCCTTTCACTTTTGTTGGATGGACGAATTAAATTGGTGGTATGGCTTAAAGGGCCAGACCAAGATTAATTAGTTTTGAAATCTCTTGTGCACATTGTATTATTGAAAATGAATCATTTATATTTCATTACCCGCCGGCATTCATTTCGTAGATGTAACACACGCAGTCAGAACCACACACACAAAATAGATTATTGATATTTAGTTTTCGTTGAAAATGGCCATTCATTAATTCTCATCAAGTTTGATGATAGGGTTTTTAGATAAAAAAAAAAATATTTATCCAAATCTCCGTTTTGTGTGCACAAACATCGCGATGGTAAACATTTAGTGCATTTGTAGTTTTAAAATAATAATTGGCATAACCTTTGAAGACGTCCATTGCACGGGCGTCCATTGTATGCGGTCGAAATCGTTCGGATGAATTAGATCAAGGAAACTTTCGGTCTTTTTATTGTTGATTCTGTGCTCATCAGTAAAAGATGATTTAACCAACTACCAAATGTCATGAGACTAACTTGAACTTTTTCCCTACTCAAATAAAATCAAGCGAAATACTAAAAACGATTGATGAAGATCGATGCAACTTTTCGTGATTTACAACTTCATCAAACTTTGAATGCAAGCACACTCTTTTTTTCAATGAATTTTTATTTTTGCGTACACCACCAACTACTGTAAATTTTTGTCAAAAGTTATGCGCTTAAAGATGTTTTTCTTGTAAAATATGTTTTTCTTTATAAAAGACATTTTATGTCAATATGAAAAGTCCCTGATAAATGAGAGATAGAGTAAAAAAAGCGTGAAATAAGCGCACATTGAATTTTTCTCCATTTTGTTGTTGAAATGACGGTTGGTGGAAAAGAGAAAAGCGTTTTGTTTGTGTGTGTGTGTTTTTGTTTTAAATTTATGTTACTCTGGAGGAAACCAAGAAAGATTCGAACGGGTTTCTATCCCAAATAAAAGAATACTCATTCTATGCAAAGTTTTTTCTTTTACTTAAAATTTGAGTAAACAAGAAAAAAAATAAGAAGAAAAAAAATGGTTCCTGTTTTACTTTTGCCCCTATAATTTATAACTGTGTCGTTTTACTTGCAGGTTATCGTGGAGATGACGCTAAACGGGAGATAAGACCCAGATACTAAAACGAAAGCAAATTGTCGTCATTGCGTTGAATATTCAAAAAGTTTGAGCTAAACATTTTTCGTCACATTTCCGGGATTCATCCAGAATACCAAAACAATTGGCCACCGGGACACATTTGTACTTCGCACTCCTTCGCACAAAAAAAAAGAAACCATTACAACGATAAAGAGTGAGAGTGTGGCAACCATAAAAAAAAGATCCAAGTAACAAGAGTGCTGATAATATTTTTATTTTTGTTACGTTTCCATTCACGCCACCGGGGAGAAGAAATAAAACGAGTGAAAAATTGTGTCACACAAGACACCAAAGACAAATGGATATGAATAACGAATTTCTTAATGGGAAAATGGCGAAATTATTCACCAACGACAGTTTTGTTGACGCAAAATCTGATGATTATCGACTACCGCAAACAACATTTGACAATAATGTCGACAATTTAACGCTTATTTATGGCCCTCGACGTGATTCAATGGCGGTTGTCATACCGATTACAGCAATATACATCTTAATTTTTGTGACCGGAATCATTGGAAATATCAGTACATGCATTGTAATCGCAAAAAATCGCTCAATGCATACCGCCACCAATTATTATTTATTCAGTTTGGCCATATCCGATTTTTGCCTATTACTATCGGGCGTACCGCAAGAGGTTTATTCAATTTGGTATAAATATCCGTATGTATTTGGTGATGTATTTTGTGTGGCACGCGGTTTGATTGCAGAAACATCGGCAAATGCAACAGTTTTAACGATAACATCGTTCACGGTTGAACGTTATTTGGCAATATGCCACCCATTTTTACAACACACAATGTCAAAACTTAGCCGTGCAATTCGTTTAATTCTAATCGTTTGGGTGGTTTCAATTTGTTTGGCCATACCGCAAGCATTACAATTTGGCGTTGTTAGCGATCCATTTCACATGATACACATATGCACACTGAAGCGTGTCATTATTGAACGGTCATTTGAATTGTCAACGGTTTTATTTTTCTTAACGCCAATGACATTGATCACCATTTTATACATTTTAATCGGATTAAAATTAAAAACATCCGGAATAATCAAGCATGAAAATGGCGGAACATCGTTGCATCAGCGTGTACATGTCAATTCAACATGTCGACAACAAGCAAGCGTTAGCACAAGACGTGTGTTGAAAATGCTCGGTGAGTAAATAACTTTTCAATTGAATACGGAACGGTATAGTAGATGGTCGGAAAACAAAATCTGATTATGACATCTGCTATTTTGACACTTTTAAACTTCTCTTTTTTGTGTTCCCATACTCTTGAACAAATGGAGCACAGATTTAGATTTGAATTGATACGTTTAAATTTTTTCCCTCTTTTTTCTCCTTTTTTCCCGGGATATGGAGCTGTGTTTTTTTTTTTATGGTGTAGTTTCTCGACAAGAATATTTTAACAAATTTTCAAGCAGATAAAATTTTAAAAATTCACTTGAACCACTTAGTTTAAGAAGAGTACCAAAAAAATGCATACAATAGTTTGACAGAATAAAAGTGCTATAAAACGTACACAATTTCAGTAACCATGGTAAATGCACCGACAACATAATGCCGAGGTACAAATATGAAATGGGTAAAGTTTGTTGGTTTGCGAAGTTACTAACGTTGTCATTTCGTCAATAATTTTCTTTAAAGAACTGTACAAACATGTTTTGCAACAAATTCACCTCAATCAATGATATAATTTTAACACTTTTCCTTAATCACAATCTTATTGTCCATTTAAGTATTGAATTTCAGCGATTCGATTAATGAAACTTCGGTTGAAATTGTATTTGGCTCGAATGCTTCGAAGTTTCATAAGTTAATGACTCTTTCTAAGTTGAGTTAAAATTTCTTTTTAATTGGTTTGATTGATGGGTAACGGTTTTTATTATTCAGTTAAACTTTCTGGTTACTGAGTGTGTAGGAGGAGATAGATTCATTTAAATAAACTGCCACATTGGTTTTATTCACAAAAACGAACGATGAAAACTTTTCAAACCCAGCAACCCAAAAACTTAATCAACGTTGCCACTAAATTATTGACTGCAAGTGCAAATGAGCACACGTACACATCATCGAAATTGACTTGTTAACACAAAATACTTTGGAATAGTTTGCAGCTTCACAGTCTGTAATCACAATGATTCAACATACTTTGATTTACATAAAAAATTGATATCGAATGGATGGAGACGTTCACGTTCTCCATTATTTATACGTGCGTTTCTTTTTTGCTTTCATTCAACTGTTGTTTTTCTCTGATTTTTCAGTTGCCGTTGTGCTAGCATTTTTCATCTGTTGGGCACCATTCCATGCACAACGTTTGGTTGCATTCTATTATCGAGATCACCCTTTTATTTATGCTGTAATGACGTACATATCCGGAGTATTGTATTACTTATCAACGTGCATAAATCCATTGCTGTATAATATCATGAGCAATAAATTTCGTGAAGCTTTTAAGGTATGTAAATTTGATGAGTTTGTGTCTTGAATAAACCGAATGTTTCGGCCACATATTCAAAGTCAGTCGCATGCAGATTTCATTTGGAATATTATTTGACATTGAATGGCCGGTCGACAGAGTCGATTTTCTCAAAAGAGTCGAATTTCATATTCAACCGATAGTAAATTATTAATAATCGGACACATTTACAAAGGAAACAAAATTCTTCAAAAGCATTCACAAGACAATTCGTGTAATTTTATCATTTTGTGTGAATGTGCACATAAATAGCAACATGTAAAGATTTTTTTTTCGTCTGAAGTCTAGACACTGAACAAGAGGCCATTTCAATTAGCCAAAAATTTTATGTTGCATTGTTTTTATATCTCTTTTGTTGCGATCAATCAATAAATGCAAAAGTTCCAAAAATTTTATTTCGCTAAAGCCGCGGGCACTCGTTCGGCGCACATTAACAAGCAAAAGTGAAAATTATCAGTTAAAGTGGAAACCAATAAATAATGTATCCGATTGAGATGGAAACGAGACAAAGAGTTCGTTTTTCGATGTGGTTTTTTTTCTTCGTTTTTGTTATTGTTGTCGTTAACACTTTGTTTTGTAGTGTGTGTGTGTTTTTTTTTTCTTTATTTAACTTTTTTAACTTTCCCTGTTACTTTTATTGAACTTAATTCAATTTCAGTCTGTTTTATTTAGGAAACGTTGGCGAAATGCTTTAAATTACAAAAGAGAGAATACGATTCGTACAGCACCTACCGAATGCTTTCACGACGCCAGCGAAGATGGAACTGTTATCAAGAGTCAGGAGACTATTCTGGTGAGTTCAATTGAAAGTTTTTTTCTTGCTTCGTTGTTGTTTCAAAATTAATTACATTTTTCTTTTCAAGTAAAATATGTTTGCATTTACCTTATTTCTTGTCGTTGCCATTTTGTTTTAAATCGAAATTGGATTAATTTTCAATGTGTTTTTCCCTCTCTTTTGTTTCGACATGTTTTGTAGGTAGTTCAATCCGAGATGACTACCTATACTCAACCTCTACTCAGAAGCAGTCCTTCGATTCGATGACCGTATCACAATGTCAATCGACTAAAATGTCAATTGATTACGATTTGAACAATCAATGTGCTGGTGATTTTAATAAAACCATCATATTATCGAAGCATCAGCCACGTAGTAACAGCAATTTGGGTGCAAATGGCGTTGGAAGCAGAAGTAGTGGTGGCGGAGGCGGCGGCAATAACGTGTGCCGAATGATTGACTCAACATACAATGACAATGAAATGAATGTAAAGCATGATAAATCACATGAAATCCGGATCTCAATCAATTGTGTAAATAGGATAAAGCCAAAAAGTGAATCAAAGCTAATTCGATTTTTTCATAATATTTCACGTTGGCGATTGCATTCTCGTCACATCGGCTATTACAGTCCACGCACGAATCATTCAATCGATATGATAAATGTACGCCAAAATCCAGTTGTTGTTACAAATAATGATGCTTATCAAATTTCTGAACGGAATTTGGTACGTTTTAACAATGCAAACAATAACATGAAGAAAACTCAACACAACGACAATGACAACGATTCAATAAGTAACAGTAGCTTAAGAGATGACAACGAATTGGCAATAAAAGACGAACTGTCCGCATATATGGAAGAACTACGTTTACGTGAAATAAGATGACACATGAGAAATGCTCCGTGAGATGAACATTTTGACGCAAACATTCAAACAAATGCGTATACGTCTCTATGTAGAACGGACAGTAAAGAAAAATAGTACCATTTCATTTCAGACTGCGTTTGCATTTATATAAAACAAACAAATCAATTTACCAAACACACACGAAACCCACACAATCTCAATTTGAGTTTTTTTTTATTTAAAGAAAAAGAATAAAACATACTATACATATATAAATAAAATTACATAAATGTGATAATAATCTTAATGTGATACATAAACACGCTTTTAAGGAGGATGGTGAAATAGTGACGAAACACACACACACACATGATAAAAATTCAGTTGAAGTGTATCCAAAATTTGGATTCCAAACGAGAATGTAGCTATTACACCAATTATTATTGCTATTATTATTCACAACCGTTTGTACTATCCATTCAGTTTTCTCTTCAATTAACTATTACTATTGTACATAAAATCTATCTAAAGTTTTAACATTGTAATTAGAACACAAAATTGACCAATTAAACCAAAACAAGACAAGACATGTTTTTGTATGAAAATACATGTCGTATCTATACCAAAATCATAAACTGTATGTATTCTGTTCTCTCATTAGTTTGTAACACATAATAATTAGATTTAAAACATTTATAAAATATAAAGAAGTTTTCGAATAGTTTATGCATTAAATTTGGTAGCATTCTGTTTATTTTCATTTATGTTTGAGATTTTAACTTGATTTCTTTACAATTTGCGCATCATTTTCATCGTCATTATTTGTGCGGGTAATGTATTTTTATGATGTCTTTCTTTCTCTTGCTCTTCGCCTTTCTACATTCAATGTGAATAATTGTGTCCTTCGGTCGTTTACTATTTGCACCACAAAAAAAAAAACAACAACAACGAAGGAACACCACCAAATGGCACATTTTACGATGAAATATTATCGCCTAGATTTCGCGATTCGTAAATTGTGTTCATTTTGGTGAGCATAATTTTGTGTGAATTGTGTGATATTTTTCATGCTTGTTCAAAGTAACAAAATCTTTGTCACATCATCTTAATGGTCATAACAGGCAAAATATTCTACAATAACGGGAACAACACCGGTATTGTTGGTGCGTAAATATACACAAAAAATCGATTCACTTGTATGTGTGTGTATGTATTTGCGCACCAACAATAAAATCAAATGGAATCTTTGTCGACTTTTATAGATGTCCATAAAATTTAGTGCATCACTTAACATTTTATATGATCTCTTTTTAACGTCACTTTTATTATAATTCTTTATACACTCAGGACCATTGAACATCAGCCGTCGTCCTGGTTTTTATCTATGCCATTGATTTCTTTTTAGCTGTCTATTTTATTCGAGACTCAATCGCGACAATTGTTCATTTGCTTGAAGGTGAATTGCGTCTCTTTGATTTTTGATGTTGTTGACCCACTTCGTTTATAATCTATACAGATGTCGAGATTATTTAAACGACATTTTTTTACGAATTGATGCGTTAACTGTCCTGTCAAAAAAACACTTTTACAATACTCGAACACATCGAACAATGTGTCTGTGGCCATGGTTCATAAATCATTCTAGACACGATTGCACCAATATACCATTTTTTTCATCGTCCGTCAAATATGTCAAATTCAAAAAATCAACAATAAAAAAAAAAAATACTTTTGAATCCAATATTTCGTGTTAGCCTATATGAAATCATTGAAACAACTTAATTTATTTCGACAGATTTACTTTATACTCTCATTAAACTTTCTTGTTGGACACTTTTTCCATCGTTTTTTCTTCTTCTTCTTCTTCTTCTTCTTCGCGTTGGAAAACAAGAAAAGTTCGTTCTGGAAAAAAAGAAGAAAAAAAACGTGGCGATAAAACGTAAAATCAGAGTAAGGGAAAATCAATTGATTTTGGACAATGCGCTCCAAATTTGTGCGACGCGGTCTCATCGTACATTCGAAGTTATTCGATAACGCAAATCTTCACTTAATAAAAACAGCATTTATGTTAGAGCAAGTTTCTGGGATGAATATGATTCAATAATCTGCTGTCGACAAAGAATAGACGCGCAAAATCGAGCGATTGAGATAGAGAAGTAAATGCATTAAAACGATAATCGAATGAGCTTAAACACCTAAAACAAGTCGATTTCAGTTCAGTAAATAAATAACGTGATGTAAGATTTATCTTTTGTTTGCTTCGCCGAAATAAATCGAAAGAAAATCTTTTAAAAACAAAACGGCAATTATTGTGTGATCGACTTTTTCAACACATAAATATTTTTTTTTTTTCTCTGTTCATCGTTAAACCCGGTATTACATTTTGTAGGCTTTCAGAAATACGATAATTTATCAGTAGACAAAGGGAATAGCTCTTCCGCGAGAATTTATATTACTTCTCGTGCTTTTTTTTGGCGAGAAACTTTCTCCCAAATTAATTTCTTTGTAGTGCTTTTGCGTCCAATGCTTGTCT